TATGGTGCGTACCGTGTATCTATTTTGTTACAAAACTGTGAAATAACTTCACTGTATAAAGTCTGACAGACAATTATTTAAAACGTATTCAAAGTGATCGCTAATGTATTTCAACCCATCCTGTGCATTTATTGGTTAGTATATCACGCGAGTCAACAGTTTAATCGGTTTTGTTTATTTCGCGTGCAAGGGATCGCAGTGTACCGACGTAATTGCTCGACTCAACACAGTGACAGAGTAATCATATTAACGAGAGCACGATTACATGTACCGACGGTTCTGGAGGGAATTTACGCTGAGGTTCGGACTTGCAGGTTGCAAATACCTTATCTGACATCCATCTTTGATCGATTGATACCAACTAAATTATAACTAATCTGGAATTGTTACTTCTGCTTTCTAGTTGGGGTATAAGAGCAATAAAGATAACTTTGAAAGAAATTCAGCTGTATTAGAGTGGCTGTTCACTTAAAATCGTATACCTAGCAGTTCAGCCAATATTTTTTCAATAAAACATAAATTTGTACTAAATAATTGTAGCTCGTATAGAGGCATATAATTTGTATAGGCAAAAATAATTTTTTTAGAACGATTTGAAATTTTTTAGTTTCGTCGAAAAATTTCACATATTCCCGAATTTTTTTCTAGAAACTGGGTAGGATTTCGGGGGTATGTCTATTGACCAAAAATGATTATAATCGACCCCAGAAACTATTAATAATTTTTTTAGAACGATTTGAAATTTTTTAATTTTCTTGAAAAATTTCGCATCTTTCCGAATTTTTTTCTAGAAAGTGGGTAGGATTTCGGGGGTATGTCTATTGACCAAAAATGATTGCAATTAACTCCCCTAGCTAAAAATAATTTTTTTGGAACGATTTCAAATTTTTTTTTTCGGGGGAAAATTCCCCTGTTGATTGTTCTTAAAACTTCGTTTTTAATTTTTAATAAATTTGTTTGACGTCCTAGGGAAAAGTTGTTTAGTGCTTTTTTGTAGATATCCATTAGCTCTACTTCAGAAAAAAGTTTCATTGAAATATGTGCACTAATGTAAAAGTTATCGCTGTTTGAAAATTGAACCATTTTTATGGGGTTTTCCTCATTTTGCGGGGTTAAGGAACAATTTTTCTAATATTCTTAGAATTTCTACATATTCTACACTAAAATACGCGTTGTTTGCCGTTTGAAACATTAAAATCGCCCAATCCGTTCAGAAGTTATGATGTTTTAAAGATACGCACGAAATTTCCAGGGTACATTCCTTGTCATACATTATATTTTCAGTAATTAATTTTTTTCTCGAAAACGCGTAAAAATTCGGGGGTATGTCTATTCACCAAAAATAATTGTAATTGATCCCTGCAACTAAAAATAATTTTTGCAGAATGATTTGAAATTTTTTAATTTCAATGAAAACTTTCAGCACCTACTCCAATTTTTTTCTCGAAGATGCGTAGGAATACGTGGTTATGTCTATTCACCAAAAATGACTGTCATCGACCCTTGAAACGAAAAATAATTTTTTTGGAACGATTTGAAATTTTTTAATTTTGTCGAAAAATTTCACACCTTCCCGAATTTTTTTCTCAAACACGCGTAGGATTTCGGGGGTATGTCTATCGACCAAAATTAATCATAATTGACCCCAGCAACCAAAAGTAATTTTTCCAGAACGATTTGAAATTTTTTAATTTTGTCGGAAAATTTCACATCTTCCCGAATTTTTTTCGAGAAAACGAGTAGGAATTCCGGGGTATATCTATTGACCAAAAATGATTATAATCGACCCCAGCAACCAAAAATAATTTTTTTGGAACGATTTGAAATTTTTTAATTTTGTCGAAAAATTTCACACTTTTCCTACAGAAATTCTTAATAAAAAATATAACATTGTGATATAATAATAGAGAAATAAATTGTATTCTTTATCGACTGTTGAAGCATCTCATAGCAAGTAGCGTTAATTAAAATCCTGAGCATCTTTTTTTCTGGTATGAATACATAAGTGACTCATTGATCGTCGGATCTTTCGTCGAACTCGGGCCGGGAAGCAAGGGGCACTGATCTTCAACTCGTTCAACAACACTGTGGCATTGCCTGAATGCCATGGTCAGTGACCGTGAGATCAAGAATTTAAATTCTACGCTGTCTCGCCTACTCCTTCTTTTCCGTCGCATTGTCCAGAATTTTTTCACCGTGCAAGATAAAAAAAGAAACGAGGAAAAAAAAAAATTGAATATCTTTCAGCGATTGTCAGTGCGTCTGTTTTATAAATAGCTCACGAGCATGCAACAGTATCGCATGGTGCTAAAAATATTATATTCCCAACGAACACCGAAACCTCTTTTTTTTAACAACGAAAATATGACTGGAATAAAAATTGACTGATTTTGTAAAAAACTACGAGAACATCTTGCTCTTTTAAAAAGAAAGAAGAATTTTGGAATGTATCGATTAAAAAAATTTTTAAACGTTCGACACAAATTTTTAAAAGTTTCACAAAATGTACTTTTCTTTCCAACGTCGTTTTTACACTTCACACGTTCGCGACGCATCCTAAGAAAACATTTCCATTTCCTCCATTCCCTATATCTCGTTACTTAAGGCATTTTCCATCCATCTGGTTCGCACGATAGAAACTCCCTTCTCGTGTCCGTTACATTTCTTGTTTGCGCGTGTGTGTGTGTGTGTGGTGACTTGCTCTGCTTTGAAACTCGACACCTCTTTCGCTAAACACCGTGGACGTCCCGTACATACGTGGGCAACGTAAACACAGAAGAGACTTACGCAGGCAGACAAATGTACGCGATATACAAGCGGATACGCGTATCAACACTACAAGTGCAAAATGGACGACCCGCGTGAGGCATCGCGACCAACACTGTCCCACGAAACTATTCCAAATGAAATGTTTCCTCGATATTCTGTTCTTGTAATTACACGCGTATATCCTCCCCGTTAATCATTCGCATGTAACAGTAGCTTTTACTTTATTCATTTCCAAAAAATTGTTTGTTTAAATAAAAGAAGTATAGTCAAAAGAGAAAAAAATTTTATATTTGCTAAATAAAAATATCAAAGAGAGTCAAAACGCAATATTTTACATGTAAACGTAGAAGCTCGATCGAAAAACGCTTGAAACAATTTTAAGGGCGCGGTAATAACCGTAAATGCTCGCCGCGGCGAGTCGTAAACACGAGTAATTCAAATGCGATGAAAGAGTGTCATGTCGTATCGTCGTTTCGCCTCGAGGTTCATCGCTGCATTCCATTCCACACTGATATTACCAAGAGAATTGAATTGTTCCTTGCAACGGACTTATCAGGGACGGAGAAGATAACGGCAAAAAAGATGATAAATAAAGTAAATAAGGAAGCAATATAAAGCGTAAAACACGAACTCCTCGCAGCTGTATTCGGCCATTTTGTTAATTCAAACGACTTTTATATATTTGGCTAAGAATTTTCATTTCTTTCTCATTTTAATTTACAGTGATACAGTGAGAATTTTCCAAGAGTGATATTCAAGAAATAATCTTGAAAAAAAGAAGAACTGTACGACCATTAAATCGTAAACAAAAAGAAACGAGACGTGTATTCTCAGTCCGTTATCATTTAGCAATTGTATTAAGAGAGTCTTATCTGGTGACACAGTGTATATTGTGAGCAATTTTGCTTTCACATAACAAATATTATCAAAGTTGTTGCAATGAAAATAAAAAATGTATTTCTTCGTTTACTTTTTTTTGAGGTTAGCTCGACGTTCCGCGAAGGTCACTGCGTTTATAATTCTTTTTCCACATCGTAAAAATGTAACACTGTTTATAAATAAAGCAACGATGCGCATATGCCCGCACACAACGACCTAGTTTTTCACTTATTAACGATTCACGTTGAACAGCAGTTAGTCAGAGCACCGGTATTCTTCAACCTTTCACGCATTATCATCATCGAGCTTGGCATTTACGCGACTTGTTGCATTGACCTACTCAGACTACAACCGATTAATGCTACGTTATTGTTTCCACGTTCGCTAGCCTCCCATGACGCGCACGCACGGCGTTCCCGGTTGGTTTTAGTAAACTGTGATTTTGAGTTACGCTCGCCCGAGACTTTACTTTCAACGGGAATCAAGGCCCCTCCCCGCGCCAAGGTCGCGAGAATAATCGACAACACGAGTCTCGATATGTCTCCTAAACACGTGACGGAAACACAGCTACGAGGCTTGGTACGTTCTCTGGGAAATATTTTCTACGTTATAGGGGAATTATCATCTATCGGTAAACGATTCGACGACGGTGTGAAAAAGCTATGCGGGTCAAGGTGATGGAGCAGGATGCCTAAACAGTTTTTAATACCAAAGATCCACCACTCGCGTACTCACAAAACGATCGGATATCATCTGGCCACGATTGCGTTATTACCGTCGAATTTAACCGGAGATTAATGGCTACCGAAAAAGTTAATTTCAATGATTTATCGTCGAGTCTCACCCTTTACACTCGAAACACACACCAGACACTATTCAAATCGAATAGAGAAATATATTTGTTCGAAGTAATAAAAGACACATTAATTCGTGTTCGTAATTCCGATTAAACGTCCAAGGATGAAAGTATCGCTGAGAGCAGAAATTTTTATTTAAAAAAAGAAGGGAATGTACTCGTTGCACACGGCGCTTGCTCGTTTAAGGGTCAAAGGACGAGTCTAGGGCGTATACGAAAGCGTCCCTGAAGCATCGATCGTGCCCACTCGACAAAAATTTCACGCCCGGGTTTCGAAATTCGGCCGTAGAGTCGGGCGTGAATTTCGTTCCGGTCGCGTCGCGATCCGGCGATTAAGCAACGCGCGACGATCGATCTGTAAAAAAGTAAACGCCGCGGCACACGGTGGTCGGTAACAACGAGAAAAGCACGCTTCCTGTCGCCGATAGACGTGCAAGCGTGCCAACCAAGAGACAAGTCGCGACGCGCACGCACCGTCAGTCAGCGGTTCGCTCACCATTTAAATCGCCCAAGGTCTGGTGGAATTTAAACCTCAATCAGCGCCAGGAAGACGCCGCATGTACACTGAAAAGGCCTCTGACGAACGGTTCGCTGGAGGCTCGTTTGAAAACGGGGATAGAACGCTGGAGAACGAGAATATCACACACTGACGGCACACAAGTTCACCGACTTCCTCGTTGGGAATCGCGCACAGAATCCCAGACGTCGCTTTCGGTCACGACGTCGCACGCAACATATTACGATATATCTGTGTAACGCGCACTCGGTTGGAGCAGGCGAGAGAGGAACAAGGCCGTCGGACGCGCCAGGCCAGTAACGTGTCGATGCACACAAAACGAACCTGACGAGACGTGGTTACACTGTTCGACACGAAGGGACGCGACCGGGCGTTTCAGCGGCGAGAAACGGAGCACTTTTGAACACAACGACGAGTCCCCGCGATGGTTCACCTCACTTCTTTCCCGGTGTGAAACGAACACTTACGGTTTCCTCCTTCCTCCGCGACACATTCGCTGACCGATCTGTGGCAATGACCACCGTGGAGACAACGATCTCCCGAAAACTCGTTGTCACTGTTCGAATCGCGACTCGCGCGCAAGATCGAACTACCTTCTCGCGATCGCGGATAAATTCTACTTTATATTAATACTAATGGCAGTGATTATAAGAGAGAGGAGAGGGTGCTACGGCACAGTGAAGTGCTGAAGAGCACCTCCCCCACTAAAGGCTCTCACGCAACTGACGCGACTGGCGCGAAGGGTACACGGGGATTAGGAGAGGACGAGGGAGGGGATACGCTCGAGAATCCGCTTGGTGGGGAGAACGACGGTATATTACGGCAGAGGGACGCTCGGGGACGAGAACGAGGCGATAGGGGAATCGCGCATGCGTAGTGGCCCTGTTTTAGAACAGTACCGTGACACTCGTCGACAAGCCACCGCCCGATGCACCCACCCCGTGTGTCACGGTATGAACTACAGCTGTCTACGGTGTTTCGATAGCGTGCTTATCTGCCACGTTGCCTCGACCATTGCCGTTACGATCATTCTCTTCGATGGTCGACGCACTAAATTCACCTCGTCGTATTAGAAATTTAATACACATTAACCGATCATTTTCTTACACATTAGAATAATTCATAACGCGATTACAAATGGCACGAAGTGCAACCAAAGAGGAAGCGATTGTTGCTTTCGTAAATAGTTATCGAATACACTGGAGGGGCAGTATGTATATGTTACATTACAAAGATTTGTTTGTTGTCGATCGATTATCATTTTAATCGTTTTAGAACGCTTTGTACTTTGGAATTTCAGATGAAAGAGTACACACGATCCGATGCATCGGCAGTTTTCACGTGAAACGAGAAATGTCATTCCCAGAGCAGTTAACATATTATGCCGAATTACCACGACGCAGGCTTGCCTCTGCTAATCCGTTTCTCGCATGCTGATATCATTTCGCCTCTCTGTGCGAAAGAGAACGTCACACAAAGCCCAAGACCTACATATAAACGTGGTATAATAAGGCTTGCCAGAGTAATCACGCTTCGCACAACACACAACAGAATCACTTTTAATAAACGACCAGCGTACAGACGCCTGTAATTAAAATCGTCGTTATACAATTTATCCAACAATAAACAGAAAATCTACAAAGTATAAATTTTGCTTTGTTTTGTTACTTTTTGTTCCTCTACTAAAAATCCACCAGGGACCGATAATTTTCAGGTGGATCGAAGATAGGGATCGAAAGATCCACTATTAAAGAAGCAGTGATCGTTTTCGTCGAAGACACTCTGCCCCGAGCGATATACCCCGTTTCTTTTCTATTTTATACTTTAACCTTGCGAAAAGAGCAATTTCGACGCCCGGTTTCAATGTCGATAGATTTCAGCCCACATCAGTGGTATCCGAACATTTTCGAAGGTAACATCCCTAACAAAAAAAAAAAAAAAAAAAAAAAATTCTGCGCCCAAGATAAGTGGTAGGTGTTAGAAAACAGTATACTCCAACAATTACCGAGTTTTGATGATCAATATACATTCAGATATTGAAAGATATATCCCCTCTTGATTAATTTTTAAGAGCTTATTAAAAACATTCTATAGACAAACGTTATGGAAGTATTCATTTCGTATTTATTGAACAATTTTAATGGGATTTTTTTTCTTGTAAATGCGCAGGATTTCGAGGGTATGTCTACTCACAAAAAATGATTGTAATTGACCCCCACAAACGAAAATAATTTTTCCAGAACGATTTGTAATTTTTTAATTTTGTCGACGAATTTCACACCTTCTCGAATTTTTTTCTAGAAAATGGGTAGGATCTCGGGGGTATGTCTATTGACCAAAAATGATTGTAATTGACCCCCACAACCGAAAATAATTTTTTCAGAACGATTTGCAATTTTTTAATTTTGTCGAAAAATTCCATACCTTCTCGAATTTTTTTCTCGAAACCGGGAAGGATTTCAAGTGTATGTCTAATGACCGAAAATGATTGTAATGGACCCCCGCAACCGAAAATAATTTTTCCAAAACGATTTGAAAGTTTGTAATTTTGTCGAAAAATTGCATACCTTCTCGAATTTTTTTCTAGATAATGGATAGGATTTCGAGGGTATGTCTATTGACCAAAAATGATTATACTTGACCCTTGCAACCAAAAATAATTTTTTCAGAATGAAAAGAAATTTTTTTATAACTTTTTAAGGAAGTCTCGGTCAAGAAATTGATATTTTTGATTTTTGTCTTATTTTGACCGCTAGAATCTCTCATGAAAATTTTTCCCAGGGTCAATTGAACACTCTGAATAAGAATAATTGTGATAATATACATACAGCATGTAAAAGAGATAATTCTTGAAGTCGTTTTAAAAGAATTCCACATTCCGTGCACTTTGTTCTTTCTTTTTACACGATTATTCGTAACAGCAACACGAACGACAATAATTTGAATAACATACATACAGTCCGACCTATTTCCATTAATTTCAAAATCGGTACGATCTTTGGCCTCTCATAAATGAAAATAAATCCTGCAAGGGAATCTATAATACATATTTTCCGAAGATAACTACTATCTTATATCGAAACATTGGGAGTTACTAGGAGATGGTTTGTATATTTTCTCGTTTCTTTATTTTAGTATTCTTCTTAATTACGCAATTGGAGATCACTATAGACGAGGATCTAAAGAAGGACTAAAGAAACACAAAAAGTGGAGGGGATAGTTCCGTTGCAACTATTCGTAACTCAGATTGACGCAATTAGCGAGGCAGTATTGCATACAGCAATTTTCTCTTTCTTTTTACCTTTTAACGATATCATTTTTATTACGATGCAACGTTATCGTTTCTCGATATTATATTTGGCCACTTATTTAAAAAATGTGAACGTTGAAATATTCTATTTAAAAATCAAGCGGAAATGCACATTACAAACGGAAGTTTGACAGGATTTTATTGAAATTCGAGGGCTAACGGAGAACAGAAGAAATGCACGGGAACGGAGCGAATACATTGGTTGAAATAATTCTCGCGTGCGTATACAGGAACGGGAGAACGAGTTTCAATAAGCACGGTACGCGAACGTCACGAAATTGCACGTCAGTTTTTGCGGCTAAGCGACTGCAAACTTTCCCATAAGGCACGTAGGTAAATAGGGCTCCGCCGACGGACCTCCTCGCGGCAGAGTTACTAAGAATCCAACTCTATTATTATGAACATAATTGTCTGATTATACGTCTCCGATCTGGCACGGCTCTATAACGTAATTCTGTAGCGCTTCGCGAAGGCACGTGCTCGTCAAATTCTCGCCACAACTCCAAATATGCTCCTAAACATCGCCTCGTTGCAAGAATTCTTATGGATTTTAATAAATTTCAAATGCTTCTAAATTTTTTAAAAGTATGAACAGATGTTACAATCTATATTCGTTGGGCGTTAATAAATGTCGGTAAATTTTACGTGAATTAAATATTTTGCCAAAAGTAACACAGACGTTCAATGTGCTATATAGTGCACGGTAAAAATTGCTCGTGAATAATTGATACATTGCACGGTACCATTAATACATCAAAGAGCAACGATAAACGATGGATAATTGTTAGTCTCTACTTAGAGCATGGTAAAAACTTAAACCGCTAAATGCAAATATTGCATAACGCGCAGACAGACGCGAAACGTTACTCGTGTCTTCGCGAGGATGTTGTTTCCTGCATTTGAAAAAAAAACTCTATTTAAAAGCCCTATTACCATTTCAAATGAGAAGGCGGAAACGGATACCATTCGTTATATATAGGCAAAACGTAAAGGAGGGCTGCAGCTGGAATCGGTAAATATAAATGTAGAAAGAAACTTCGAGTGGGTATGGATTCTCAGAGCGCGGTTAGAGGGTCCCTACAATGAGCAGACTTTAATATTTTAGATTTTAGGTGGTCATTCTTACATCCCCAAAAGAAAATTACTCCTCTCAAGTTATTCAAAATGATTGAAATGGTTCAAAATAATTCGATAAGATCATTTTTTCCAAAAATGAGCAGACTTACTTTAATATTTTGGGGGGTCATTCTCAAACCCCCAAAAGAAAATTTCCCCCCTAACCCAGACCTAACCCAGACCTAACCTAACCGTATAAGATGTAAAAAAGCTATTTAATAATAGAGAAATTTTCATATATCCAGTGAAAATTATCAATAAATAAATATAATTTTTAATTACGATAGGATCATTTTTCCCAAGAATGATCAGACTCACTTTAATATTTTAGGGGGTTATTCTTTAACTCTCAAAAGAAAATTTCCCCCCTCAAGTCACTCGAAATGAATTAAAATGGCTCAAAAGAATTCGATCGGATCATTTTTCCCAAGAATGAGCTAATATTAGGGGGTCATTCCTATTCCCATTCCTATTCCTCATATTAATATTTTAGGGGGTCATTCCTAAACCCCCAAAAGAAAATTTCCCCTCTCAAAAGTCACTCGAAAGGATTAAAATGGCGCAAAAGAATTGGATCGGATCATTTCGTTTACTAAAACAATCCGCGGGGCTTAATTGTTTGGTTTGGTATCGCGCGAACGCGATGATACAATCCCGGCGAAATGTATTTAGATGCATCGTAAACAGTAACCAGGGGTTGCAGAAACGGTTTCGCGAGTTTTGAGTACGCGGACAGGTCCAACAGAGCGCGAGAGGATAAGCGAGAGGAAAGCTCTCGAGCGTCAAAAATCGTGTCGTCTTTGTTCAAACACACCGCGGCGCGCGGCATCGCGTTTTCCCTTAACATTCGTTACTAAAATACACACGGCGCCACTTTCCCGTTTCGTTTTTCTCGTTTCACGTTCGCCCGCCACGGACAAAGAAACTTCGCCAGTGATTCTCAATTCTTTTTTTTTTTTATTTCGTTTCTCTTTCCGTTTTCGAGGCGGAATCGCTCTTATGCACGGAGAAGGAAAAGCATCTGCCCGTTGGGACGCGTAGTTTGCGTCAGTGATCCTTGATACGCTCTTGTAAACCGATCTTGGTGATTTTTTTTTCCTCTCTGTGACGTTGTACGCGTAAAACGTTCATTAGAATTCAGAAAAATGATCGCGGAGCGATAATCTGTTATCTGAGAAAGTTCGAGCACACGTAACGAGCGTTTGCCTTCGCGGCGAATGGAATATAGACAGATAACAGCACGGCGAAGGTTAGTTGCATAAAAACGAGCACGGTTAACGCGGTTACTTCACTCTGAAGTAACGCT